ACAGCAAAGAAATGAGAGAAAAAGCGTGCATTGCAAATTATGAGGATGCTTTTTGCAAGGAGTAGAAAGAAAGCTTTGCCTGGCTTCTCAGTGGGGCAGAGATTGCCTTGGCCTCCAGGCTAATAGATTTGTGAAGAAATTGAAGAGCAAACCCACTCTCCCAAACTGGGCTCCCATTATATGGAAACAGGCTGGAGGCAACCGAAATCTTCATTTGCTGAAGGCTTTTTTTTTTTAACCATGGAATGCCAAATAGTTCGATTAAAATTGAAAATAAAGAAGGATGCCAAAGAGAACTCCAAGTCTCCAAGAATGACCCCAGAATGTTTACGCCACTAAAACTCTGCCCAATGATCAAAACAGAATCTGCGGAAGTTCATCTAGAACTGACTTCAGCTTTTTCTAGACACAATTCTATAACTCTGGGTTTTTTTGTTGTTTGAAGTAGAAAAGCAGTAGCAATGTAAGAAGTTGAGTAAGGGCTATTGGAGGAACAAAAAGTGACAAGTGGATCCTCTGAGAGCACAGAAAGAAGAGAAACAACAAAAAGCAGACAGAAGGGCTTTCAAAACACAGCAGACCAGCAGAAGCCGAATGAGGATAAACAGCCTTATATGGGTTTCAAGCTACTGTGGCTATTAATGGTTTTTAGCCTGCAAAATAACTGATGTTTATATAATGATGTAACTAGGTATTAGGAAAGTACATTGCATAAAACATGCATGTTCAAGAACAAGATTTTTAGAAAGAGTTTTACATTACAAAATTTGTTGAAAAAGATTTGCATTAGAAATGATTTAAATAAAAGCTAATGCTTTGATGCTTGAAGGGGGACTATTTCGGCAACTTAAGGCGGGGAGTCACAGTGCCAATAGTATAAATTTTAGAATCAGAGAGCTTTGGAGTATGTGACATCAAGTAAGTTTGACACTGTATCTGTGTGCTCATCTCTGAAATGGGATTCATGTATGCCTACATAAAAAATAGGATTGTAAAGAAGACTAAGTTAACTGATCTATTCTAAATATCTGGCACATTGTAGAAATTCAGTATGTGGTGGTTGTATTAGTGAAAATGCAAATCCCCTGTAATGGTAAATAAATGATGCATTTTAAATTTTTAATATGATTAGGCAACATTATTCAATGCAATCTAACCACATTCCCTGCTCTGTCCCATAACCCTATGAATTGTAAGCCCTTCAGCTCAGCAGAGAATCAATAACAACCTTTGGGCACTTGATTCACTATAGAAACGTATATAGGGTCTTGGCTCTATTAAAAGATGGGATGCAACATGAAATTAAGGGAAGGAAGAGATTAACATAGTAGTTCTCAAATACAGTTCTTTATTTTTTTTAAAAAACAGATACTGTAACTAAAGTATTGTAAGTCCTTATGGAGGAAATGTAAAATACCAAAATGAGTATTCCTTTTTATATGGCATAATATGTTCACATAGAACTCATATATTATGAACTTTCCAATATTCAACTATTTTTGATTGGCAAGAATGACAAGGGCATATGGTTCAACCTAATTTTTACTTAAGCAAAGGTAATTGCCTCATTTTATTTGCAGAAATGAGACATGGAATAAATGGATGCATAGAGTTGAATATTTGTTAAATAGTTTGTATGTGGAGAACTATATAAAGAAATACTTTAGGTGAGGACATAAAGTTACCAGTAGCATTTGTTATCTTCAAGCTTTGCTACATATCCAGCAGCTGGTTGCTCTCAGTTGGGAGTGATTCAGACCTAAGCCCCACACGGTTCTTCAACTTCAGAACAGGAGATCAGTTTAAGCTTCCTCACTGATACCATGCCAGTTTCAAATTTCACCGCATCATCACGCTGCTTTCTATATTTTTGGCATGTTGACTTTTCTGGGCCCTGGAAATTATTTCTGACCCATGTAACTCCAAAAATTAACGGAACTTTTCTTGAATGTTATAAAAGTAGCTGAGCTGCTGACTTAAAGATGATGAAAACTGCATTTTCTCAAATAAGCTCTTGATTTTATTTAGACTTTAAAGATTTTCTTCTGAAAACATTAGGACACCTTGAGGAATTTACTAACTATAGATTTTGGTGCTGTAATATTGGCAATTAATGAAGTAAGGTTTAACTGATATCTTTAGAGACTAACTATTAGGCCCCAAGGTTCATTAGACTATGAAGATTTGCGCCTTTCTAATTTAAGAAGCTATTTCACCTAAACAGAGTATCTTGCTTCCATTGGCTAATGGTAGAAACCCAGAATCATTAGCTAAATTAACTGTTTCATGTGGTTGGTCTTTAGAATGTTATAAGCTGTAATGGAATTACTGAGTTGAGAGCAATTAATCGAATGTACTTTGAATATATTCTAACCCAATTCTGTGCCTGTCAATCATAATGACCATTTAAAAGCTACCAAAATAAAACTGCGGATGAATCTTTAAAACAAACCATCTAGAAACATTTTAAAATGCCTCACACCTGAATCATCTGTACCACCTCCGAGTCTGAAAAGCCATTTTGGGTGCTGCCATTTAAGTGCCATCCCAGAACCCCATTGGTTTAAAGAAGAAAATGAAAGTTAGGAATACTTTTTCTAGGCTTTTAAAGCTCATAAATTCTAGTGGCAGGAACTGAATGCATGTTTCTTGTGTCTAGGACTCCTGTGTTAGACCAGAAGTTGAAACTTCAGACCCGCTTGCAGAGCCATAGGGGTACTCAGGTGAGCAGAGATGGCGCCAAGTCTCGGGGTCGCAGAGAAGGGGCCGAGGAATGCAGAGAACTTAAAGGCAAAGAGGCTTTCGAAGGGACTAGCCGCCATCTAGCTACCCTGTTTGCTGTCCTGTGGGAATGTAGTTCCAGTAAAACCGAATACGGTGATTTTCAAATCCGGATGTGTGGAACTTCACATGAAATAATCTCCTATTTAAATGTTGGTACTTAATTCAAAATTTAAATTCATATTTAAAACACAAATTAAAACTACCTCAAATTTAAACCGCATCCGTGGGGTGTCAGGAAGCAAGTTCTGGATGAGATTCTAACATCCTCTGTAGATATATGAATGCTATTAAAAATGAAGGATGTTGACATGCTGTCCTTCATTAATATTTATGACCAATCAAAGGAAATATTTAAAAAACTAGGATATTTCATTAATCAACAGATAGTAGGTGCCCACTAGGTTGCCACAACATATTCATTATTAAGAATATATTTATTATCTTCTTAGTATATAATGAATATTCATATTTATTATAAAAGACAGATGCATTCACTGCATTTCTCTGATTTATAAACAGGTTAGTTGAGGGGAAAAAAAGAGAATTTCCTGGTAGGGTTGTCAATTATTGAGAGTGAAATATTAAGAAAGGACCAAAATTGTATTATAAGGGATGATCCTATAAAAGCTGAAGGTATAATAAGAAGACTTTTTCAGTTATATGCAGCATCATGTATTATTTACTATACAAAAAAGGGGAGAGGGTAAGTAGTATGAAGAAAAGAAAATGTGAATATTTTATTATTCTAGATTGTGGCTTTCAGATTGAAATATTATCTTTGACAAAGTTGAAATGAAAATTTTATATAGTTGTAAGTTAAGGAAAAAGCCACAGAGACATATACAGATGCTAAGAAATAATTTGTAGTTCTCTGAGGGGTTACAAGAGAAATTTACAGAGTCATGGGGCGCAATGTGCCATTTAGCTGCCCCAGACAACACACAGTGTCTGTTCAGTGCACAAGGTAAAGGGCAAGGAGTAAGGGTCATTTTCTATTTTTGGCATTTGATTGCTCTGGGCCCAGAGGAACAGAGTGTCACCTTTTGTCCCTCAGGCGACCCTGTATGTTAAAAACAGACAATATGTATCTCAAAGACATTTTGTGCATCAGTTCTGACATCTCTAAACCACTTGCAAATTTTTAAAATCAAGGCAAAAGCAAGGAATGCTATCCCCTCTCTCCATAATTTACAAATTTTCGATGAAGAATTGTGATGGCCAAGCCACCAGTCAAATGCCTATTGGAACATTCTTGTTTGCTTTAAATCTCTGCTCATCCCAGAACCCATCATGTTTATTTCCAAGCAATGTTCTTTTTATACACTTTCTCTTTGCATTTAATTTAAATGAGAAAGCAGCTCTAGGCAGAGTCATTATTTAAATTGCAGTCTCCATACTCTCATTTGGAAATTGAGGCATCCATATAAGCAAGGCTGCAGTTGGATAAAAAGATGAATATGTTACATGTACAAGTCCAGGGGTCCAGCTGTCAAGCATGGATTATATAAAGTTCATTTGCTGTGTATCCTTTACAAATTTTCCTCTGCTAGCCTTGCACAAGATGCCAACTTTATCTTTTACTTGTACTCTTACCTTTATTCTTTAGAAAAATATAACATAGATGAGGAATTTGAAGATTCAATTGATACATAAAAATGCACTTACCTCTGTCTTAAAGCTCTGTGTGCATTATGGGAAATAACACCTCTTCTATCTACTCAAATTATACAAGAAGCTCCAAACCCAATTTCCAGATAAAGGCAAACACAAAAAGAGTCCACACCCTATAGAGGAAATCATTCTCTTCTATTACCTACTGCCTGACTTTCAAGAAATTAGATGAGTTCATGTTATTTATTGCAATCTATTATCTAACCTTCTTGGGAATTGACCTCTAAGTACAATGTTCTCACAGTTCCCATCAACTCAATTACATTGATTACAAGAATATTTTGCATGCACACACACACGCACACATATACTTCTTGATATTGAAGAGTGGTATAAAAATCAGGGGCTCTAGAATATAAAACAGAGAAGGAAGGATTATCTGCAAACACTTGGCTGCACTTTGCATATTGAACCCAATGTAAGACATGAACTCTTCATGAATATTACCATATTAGCAAACTCTTCTTGGGGGAAGAAATGGATTTTTAAAAATAAGCCTGCTTTGCAAGTTCTGTCTTCCAAACCAACTCCTACGGATACTTTACCTTCCGGAGGGGCTTGAGCTTGGTCTCCATTATGAAGTCGTACTTGCAGAGCTCACAGCAGCGCGTGTCTGAGCTCTTGATCCACTGGTGGAGGCAGGACTGGTGGACAAAGCGCAGGGTGCCCGTGCAGCGACAGGGTGTGATGAGGGGGCTCTCTTCATCTCCTTCGCAGTGACAGATCCTGGGGAAGGACACAGCAGCCAGGATGAGATCTCCCAGAGAACATTTCTCATCAGTGGACACCTTCCTTTTCTCATCCCAGGCTGTACCAGGGACTGCAGCCAAAGCCTTAGACTGCAAGAATGTTTCACTTGAACTTGATGCTAGAACTGAATTTATGACTTATATTAATTTTCTTTCATCAGCGTAGTCATTGCTGGACTCTTAAGTCATGTTATAGGCATCAGACACTGGTACTTTCTTACACTAAAGCCAGTTTTCACAGCACAGCCATTGAGCTATGCCCCCAGCTTAATCTATTTAATAGGTCAGTGTTTATGGCATAAACTTGCTTTCATACACAGAAGTTATGACTTCTAAGTATTCTAAGGAATGTTACAATCTGATAACTTCATTCTTTTATTTTGATGCTAGTTTTACAGGGGCATGGCATATAATTTAGTACATAGAGTGTCCTAACAATGTAGAAGAAATCTGAAAAATTTAACATATTACCAAGGAATAAAGCGGACACAGGAAGTCTCAGCTTGGGAATATTACAAAGATTTTTCCTAGGAATATGTGCACAAATTTGGTCAAAACAATTGGCCTAAACTGTCAATAAACATCATTGTTTAGAAGTCCCCAAAATTACTGGTTACATAAAGTTGAAGTATAGTAAATCCTATTGTTTTAAAGTGTTAATTACTACATCTTCCAAGGAATTCAGAGTTCAGTTAGTTGACTGAATTACCATGAATTTTAGTGTCATAGGTTCACAGTCTATGAAATTATTATTCTCATCTTCAAATTTTAAAAGCAATTTGTTTTCTTCAATGGATGAGGTATGCTCTTCTTACCTCAAGGTTGTGAATTCAAATCCTGGTACTACTCTAATTCTTATGTTTTACCCAGCTGTTAAAGTTGATAATAGATTTAATTAGAAATATTGCTTCAAATCTGTAAGAAATAGGAATGGAACATTAAAAAAAATGTATAGTTACAGTTTTCAAGCCAAGTCTCAGTGGCACACTGAATGTTTAAATTTCTGCCACTGCTCTTTCCTTTTAGGTCTATGTGCTCTATTTTCCAAAAGCATGGGTTTTAAAAAATGAGTTTTTAAAATACATTTATCTATCTCAGCTGCCTCCCCAGGGGAAATGAAATGGTTGCTCAGATTGTTACTGCAGCGAGATACAGGAATTGAAACTCAACCCTTCTCTAACCTCAAAATAAAGAAGTATGACAGGAGTATGTTGAACCTCTTTTTTTTAAGTTAAAATAAAGTAAGCAAAAGGAAACACTGGCTTCCAAAACCCTGGGAGTGGGAGTGGTGTCTGCCTCCCCCTGGACTGCATGAGGAAGGAATGGTGTTGGTTTAGCAACACAGATAAAAGGCTGACGTAGTGGGGACAAACAAAAAATTATCTGAGAGGCTATTTTTTAAAATATAAAAGCCTAAGACATCTACTCTTTCCAAAGGTGCTGTCCTAGAGATCAGGGCTTAGTATCCACTGTACCGCAGCCATTGCCAACAGTGTGTTGATTGCACCATGGGAGCTCAGCAGAGGGTTACTGAGTAAAGAAACTGTTCAGTCAACAAACTATGGCTTATTATAAAAGCAACCAGTGAAAGCAAACCTGGGTTTCTATAGCATTTCATTTTGTTGTAATACTTAGTCTTGGAGCCTTTGAAACTTAATGAAACTTACATGGTACAACAGGTTGGTATTTCTTGAGTTTTGAAACTCTTATCTCCCTACCTCCACACAGAGATACCCCTTTAGATCAGGGGTCAGCAAACTATGTCCCAATTTTTCCTGCTGCATGTTTTTGTGAATAAATTTTTATTGGAACACAACCATGCACATTGTTTATGTATTGTTTAGGGCTCCGTTTGCACTATACCTGCAGAATCGAGAGTTGCTGCAGACCATATGGTGGCAAAGACTAATATATTTACTATTCATCCCTTTACAGAAAATGTCTGCTAACTTCTGTTTTATACATGGTGAGTTAAAGATAATGCATGAGTATTATCAACAATAATAAAGACAAAGTTTACCAAAAAATCACCTCAACTTCCACAAGGAACAGAAGTTGAAATAAAGGTTACATAGAGAAGTACACAATAAAAACGGAAGTCTCTCCTGGGCTGGCATTGAAGCCCAGGGAGGCACAATTTTCTCATCTGAAAAATAGAAACTTGCAGTTAATGCCATCAGATAATCCATCACTAAATATGGTTATGTCAATGGAATTCTGCTCATCCATAAGAAAAGATGGCCATTTGTGACAACATGGATGGACCTTGAGAATATTATGCTAAGCGAAATAAGACAGAAAAAGACGAGAACCAGGTGATTTCACTCATATGAGAAATAAAACCTAAAAGCAACAAATGAATAAACAAAAACTCATAGACACAGACAAAAGCATGGTGGTTACCAGAGAGGAGGGTAAGAAATAGCAAAGGTAATCAAATACATAGTGATGGAAGATTTGACTTCGGGTGCGGGGTACACAATGCAATACCCAGATGATGTACCTTAGGATTGTACACTTGAAACCTATACAATTTTATTAACAAATGTCACCCCAATAAATTTAACTTTAAAAATGCCAAAATGAAAATCTGATTATATCAAATGCTACACAGCTGCCAGGGTGATTTGGAGGCTCTGACTTTTTACTGATATGAAAAAATCATTCATAAACAGATTTAAACAATGACCTCGTTGATTACTGAATTCAAATTGACTTGTACAGATAACTGAGTATATAGTCCACCTTACTGTATCTTATAGACTCCTTGTTAACAGAAGGTAAAAACTTCTGTTAAACTGTTCATTGAAGCACCACCAGCAATAACATTTTTTTACATAAAATTAAGATTATTTCCCATAGGAAAATTCCAAAGCTTAGTTAATTTTCATTTCTAATTCACAAGATGTATTTTTACATTATTTCAGCATTTTGAACTTTTTCAAAATTATCCAACTGATGTTGGATCTAAGAGTTCTTTTAAAAACCATGTTGAGGTTGTTCTAAATGACTTCAAGGGCTAACTATAAACTTTGGATAGTGCCATTACAGAAATAATTAAACAAGTCTTAACTTGATATACTTTACACAAAACACAATTGCCAAATTATAAATGAAAACATAAATATGCTTTTTCCAACAGAGTGTGCACACAAAATGGTTTTAGTAATAAAATGACATTGTAAAATATTCATAATTTTGATGAACTTTTTTCCCTTGTGGGTAAAATTATGGCTCATGATTTGAGTGATTCTGTAAAATTTTTGGTGATCTTCATTGGTGTCTTTTTTATTTTTTGGCATTTTAGTATATGAACTGCCTGCTTACAGTTTAATCAGCAGATGTTGAGACTTCCACAATTTATAACTTCAATAAACTTCCATATGATTTCTGGCTTTCTGTGAAGAGCAGACCACAAAATGCTATTTTTCTAATTAAACTTTGAAATTGTGTGTGTGTGTGTGTGTGTGTGTATGCACACTTAAAGCTCCTTCTTTAATGTTTAAGTTTTAAGTAGGCTTTTTTGCCCTGGCCGGGTGGCTCAGTTGGTTGGAGCATCATTCTGTACAAAAATAGGTTATGGGTTTTATTCCTGGTCAGGGCACATACCTAGGCTGAGGGTTTAATCCCTGCTCAGGGTGTGTACATGAAGCAATGGATTGATGTCTCTCTCTCTCACACATCTTTCTCTCTCTCCCTTCCTCTCTCTCTAAAATCAATAAAACATATCTTTGGGTGAGTATAAGAAAAAGTAGACTTTTTTCCTTAGTCTTACATATCTTAAAATGACCTCCACTGCTTCCCGACCCCTTCTCTTATCAAGGCTCCTTGGTTCTGATAGAAGAATAATTTTTTTTTCTGCCTACATTTTTAAAAAAGTAATTCAGTAAGAAAGTACATGAAGGACCTAGAGATTATGTAACTTCGGATTTTTTTTCACTCATTCATTTGTCATTTTACTCATTCACATTTTATTGGTTCTTGCTCTATGCAAAGAATATCAGACAATAGCATCAGCATGTAGGGGTAGGTTGAGAAGGAGAGAAAAGAACCTGAGGCAGGTACCCCATTTGGGCAACTATTACAATCACCTAGGTATTAAGACTCTGAAACACTGTGATAACACTGGGGACGAGATGGGACCTCTCAGCCTGCTGAGTGCACACAGATCCCAAAGGCCTTGCTGGGTTTCCAGGACTAGCTGTGGCAGCACCGCACATTTACAAGATGTGACTCCTGAAGGCAGGCACCCATCTGTAATCTTCAGGCAGCACCTCATGTGCAGGCCTGTCAACTCTCTCTTTCCATATTCCATGTCATATTTCTGTTTCTCTTGTAGCATACCTTTCTGATATATCCCCTCACTTTTCTACCTGCATTTTTCTCCGTATTTCTCTGCAACTGAATAATCTTCAAGCATAGGAATTATGGATACTGTTTGGTTTGTAATGGTTTGATTTGGATGTCTGTCTTTACTCAAAATTAATCATGATACTTCAGAGTTTAACACTCATTCCTTGAATTGACTTTACTAAGCTAAAAAATGATTAGAATATGCATTGGTTGGAGCCATATTGAAAGGTATTAAGCTGTGGATGAGAAGTTAATGCAAAAGTAAATGAGCGAGGAGATATAATCATTCTCTCTTTTTGAGAGATATAGTAGAGCAGTGAAAGGAGAGCAGACTAAAGGAAATTTTATTTTTAATTTTCATTTCATTTTATTTTTAACAGCTTTCTTGTTCATGAAGCAAAAGCAAAGGTACCATAGAGAGGTCTTCCTTTACAAAATTAGGCAAGAGAATGCCCCATTGTTAAATGAAGTTTCTTGAGAAGTTAAGAAAGCTGGGGAAAGAAAAAGTATGGTAGAGGAGTATCTTTGGGTAAGTGGAAGAATACACAGGAGGGAAACAGACACATTTTCCTGTGAGTGAGAGTTAAAGTAAAAATGATCAGTGAAAATCCACAGATGGTAGAG